TCTGTCAACAGTCTATTGTCTAAATTACCGATCGAGCTAACAGAGCTACGTAAACAGAGCGAACATGAGAGCACCTGACTGCAGACGTCAATAATGCAGCATAACGGAATAATCTCCCGATCAAACTCTGCTTCCCGAAAGTTATAAACTGCCTCCGGAACCCAGTTAAGGTACAAAAATCTATTCAACAAAAATAGTGATACAGTTAAGTCTTTTTTCGCTCAGCCGAGCCTTCTCTGTTGCTGTGTGGAGCAACCTGTGTCATTTACCTCTTTTACTCTCCCCCCCCGACTCCTGAACTCACTCACTCACTCACTCATCCGGGCATGCACTGCGGTCTCAAGAGGAAACGCAGCTTTTTGATATAAAGTTTTTCTTTTTTCCGAATACAAATATTTTTTAAAGTATTTGTTCGAAATAAGTATTCGTAAAAAACACATTTTTTGTGCCTTTCCGAATACTGTATTCGGGTTCGGCTCCACCCCTAGTGGACACTATTTGAATTTTCATATTGGTTGTACTTAATGCATGTGTTAGTTACACCATTAAATCAAGTACAATAAACATGTTTTTCCTTCTATATCCAAAAGCTAAATTAAGTAATACCTACTTAATAATAATTCAATATTCATTGAAATATTAAGTTACCTCATCATTCAAATAAAGTTGCTCTACCTTAATTTTTTTGTTGTTTTCTACTCAGAAATATCCATGCAAATAGTTAACGCACTTTCTTTAGTATTAGTACCTTGCTTTACTTAAGTCAGGGGAAATAGAAAACAAGAACCGCATTTCACAATTCAACATTTTAATAAATGTTAAATAATAATAATACTCATCATCACTTCATTAATCCCCATGGGGAAATTGTCTTTTAGGTCTCCCTCAACTTGCTCTTTGTAAGTAAGTTGTCCATGAAGGGCAGCCACTCATGGCTGTGCCCAGGAAGCTGGGGGTTAAGGGCCTTGCTCAAGGACCCACAGACATGCTGAGACTGGATTTGAACTGGTGACCTTGTGATTACAGGCACAGCCCACTGAGCCACACAGAACACATGGTTCTAGTTATTAGAGTGCAAGAATTTTTATAAATAAATTACAAATATCAACTCTAAACACAAAAAGCATACAATAGGTATTTTAGACATCCAGAAATTGCGCAAATGTTACAAAAGCAGTCAAGTAGAAAACAATTTGAACAGTGGAATGTAATCGTGTGCATTATATGTGTGTATGATCAGCAGGGTTTAAATATGAGTACAGTCAATCTATTTCAATACATCTATATTGTACAGCACAATACTATATACAGTACTATACACTATATACAATATCTATACAGTATGTAAGTAGTATTGCATTTGTAAAATGCAACTAGAAAACCCCTTGTCTCATGCTGTCTTGCCATGCTTTCCCGAAGATAATACTTGTCAAATTGGAACGTGTGTCTTCTGTTCAAGTAATTTAGCTGTGGAGCTTAATGAGAAATGGCGGGACCACAATTCACATCAGTTAGCATAGCACCGCGCTAGCAGACCGTAGCTGCTCTGGGTAAAATTGTTCTAAAACATGTTACACAGCAAATGTACCAGTGTTAAATTAACACTGCATGGTGTTTATATGGGTCCACGCCATTCAATGTTACCTATAATATTTTACAGTGTGCAGTGAGTGTTGTTTTTACAGTGTTAATATTTTAGTAACAATACTGAATTGGGACAGTTAAGTTAGGACAACTCAAAAAGATCAATGCAAATAGTTAACACACCTTTTTGAGTAGACCCAATACATTCTTTTTTAGAGTGCACCAGCTTGTGTGGAATTGAGCCATGAGCATTTTCCAGGTCGTGCCACAGGACTGACAGATTGACTTTGTTCTCCCAGCCTCCCTGATCAGCTGTGTCACCATTAGTGATGCGCTGATCGGCTCTAACTCCATCCGAATCTGCATGTACACATAAGTCATTCACCTACCACCCACCCGAATTAAGTATTTTCTCTGAGTCAGAGACCAGCGCCCAATCACACAATACCAGTATTTCTCAGTGGGATACATGTAAGTGTGATGATCTGATAACATGTTACACTGAATTAAGCTGGTTTTAAATAAATACACATTAACTTAAAGTTCTTCTTTTTTGGTAAAATAAAAATGGCAACCTGCCTGAACACAGACTGACATCTTTACTCCTGTCAGACTATAAGTCTGCATGTTACTGCATCTTCCCAAATACAGACCATTAAGAATACTAATACCATGTTACATATGACATTCCCAGCACTTGACTCATCATGGTAACTATTTCACTAAATCACTCCCACACATAACTTTCCCACCCATCCTTTTTACTTATTTGTTTTTAATTCTCCTTATTTGATTTTAACTCGGATCATTTTTGCCTCCATTGCTGGTTAAGACAAATGGACCTGCAATGAGAGTCTAGTCTGCAAATTCGTACCTGATGTGAAATGTACCCCCCCCCACCCCACCCCACACACCCCGGATATAACTGTGATCCGCGCATCACTAGTCACCACGCCCATGTGCTTCAGACATCCGGCCATTCCTGACATGCCTGCTTTCTGGACTGACGTATCAGTGTAACTGTACATAGCCAGTTAGAAGCAGCACTGAAAATGATCTTTACTTCAATCCTCAACAGAGACATGAGGCAGAACTGGTCTATTCACCTCCAGTTCTCCTTCTTTGGGATCCAAAACCCTTCAGCAATGCTCCACTGGAAATATTGGTACTTTTCCAGATGACTCAGGGGAGCTTCCACAGGCGCAGATTAAGATAATTCTTGTTTACTTTGCATGGATGCCGCTCAGGCCTGGAGTTAAGCTTGCTCATCCTCTTCTGACTATCTCAGGAACCTCTTTCAGCTGCAGGTCTGACGTGTCAAACTGCAAAGCTGCCTCAATCGGCTGTATCAGTGTGCTGCACTCTCCCAAGTCCTCATCTATTGCTGGGTTGCTATACATTTGCTTCAGATGCTGGTCCCTCTCCTCCTGTGAACATTCCAGCTTGCTGCTATGCTTCTGCCATAACAGTCCCTTCATAAACCTGAAGGGCTTGGTGATGAAATGCAGTGCTTTCAGGCTCTTTCATGACGTCGTCTCTGATGCCACTCTGCCCGACGGAGGACCCTGATCTTCTTGTGTAGGATGTACATCATCTGAGCCAAACCACTGTGCTCCTCTTCTTTTGCCTGTTTGTTTTGGGACCTGAGGGTTTCCATCTCCTGCCTGATACTATGGATCTTCACTGCTCTTTGGTTCTTTACATATGGTCCTTTGGAAGCTCTCAGCTTCTCCTCTCCAAATTGCTCTAACACAATGCTGAAAATGATCACTGTCACGGTCAAACTAATTATAAACATCTGTCTTTATTTTAGTTTTTTTCCCAAACAGTGACAACCTCCTTTAATATGAAGTGTAGGAAACATGGAAATATGTAAACATACCTGTGGATGATTTCCGATATGGAGCCATATAAAATAACACCAGGATATACAGCAGACTGATGGCTGTAAAAGTAACAGCCTCTTCTGTGGATCCTGGGAAACAGTTAACATTAAATTTTATTTATGTAGCAGAGTCAAGCAGGGTCAGAAAATACCGGGAGCAGTTGGGGGTTCAGGTCCTTGCCCAGAGGCTCATGTGTAAAATCACTCTGTTGAGTCTGAGATTTGAATTAGTGACCCTCCAAACGCAGGCAAAACATCCTAACCCACTGAGCCACCCCCCTGCACTAGGATCCCCATTTTTCCAGCTTAAATTTCTTAGCTTCTCACAACTTCCTTTCTTCTACTCTGCTGAACTTTACATTGGATTGCATGTTACATGTCACTTCATTACTGATTGCTAACATCTAAAATTCTATAATTAGTCACCAGGGGGCGCTGCCTCTACTGTTGTAAATACATCTTTATTTCATCACGGTGTGTTTAATGATTTCCCTGTTCTTGCAGGTAATCCAGAAAAGCAGATGCACATTTTGAGTAAACAAAATCAAACCTGCATGATCCTACACAGACTCATAGTGTCAATAAAATAATCTTTTAGGAAATACATATCAAACTATAAATAACTATGAGTTCAATTATGAAGGAAACTTATTTACCTTAAAAGTGAATCAGCACAGTAAATTACAAATACTAAGTACAGTGGTACCTCAGTTCTCGAACTCATTAGAACTGGAATTTCTTAAAAGTCTAACTAACCAATTCGAAAAAAAATTACCTAGATCTGAATCTCAGAAGTCAAACTGTGAACGCCGACCTAAGATAACTTGTACGCGCGGGGAGTCACACGGCACGTCTCTCAGTGGAAACAAAGGGTGTGATAGCATCATGCATGTTTACACTAGCTGAATACATATATTTAGACAGTAAAAATACATCTAGACAATGACAGACAGTAACAGTAATTATTATTATATAATAAAATACATTTAAAAATAAAGATTTCTTATTATTTTAATATTAAGAATAAACCATTAATACATTTAATTATAATAATATTGTCGTGCCCAGCGGGGTCGGAACGGAGACAAAGGCGCAGACGTCAGGGTATCGGGGAATACGGGTTTAATTACAGGTAACGCAGGCAAAACGCAGATGGACAATACAATGACCGGACTGGGGAAACAAACTGAAACGCAGATGAAATACAGAGGACTAATGACAACAACCAGAATCACGGGTTGTTGTCACAATCCGTGATCACACAGGGATTCCACACGGGGTTAACGAGGGGGCGTGGCACACGGAAGGAGCGGACAATCGGGGCAGGAAACATTGTTTTTTTTAACTTTACACATTGCTTGGATACATTTATTTTCTTACTTTACAAATTCCTGTTTTGATAAATGTGCTTAGATGTGTTTAGTATAGTATATGCTCTTCTTATTTTATCCGGTTCATTTTGTGTTTAAATGCTAAAAAAAAAACATATTTAGGTGTAATTTTTTGGGGCCGGGAACCAATTAATTGGTTTCCATTATTTCTTATGGGGAAAATTCGATCAGATTCGATTCGGAGTTCTGAACGGATTAAATTCGAGTTCTGAGGTACCACTGTATCAGCCTCAAATTACAGAGTCACTAATTTATATAATTAATCTCCAGCAGGTTGCTGTTTATACTGCTGCTGTTTATTTCTTACTGCCTGCACAACAAAAACAATACAATCTGTCTCTTTGTAAGGCTTCTTTAATCCATATTCAATGGGCTCACCTTCAGTTACACCCCACAGGATGAAGGCTGTGGAAACCATGATTGGTGGAGCTGTGACATGTGAACAGTGACTCAGCAGAGCCTGTCTGCTGTTATCTATAGACAGAAAGTAGAACCAGATTTAACCACATGCTCTTTAACATCAGCTAACAATTCATCTGAAGTTTAATGATCTACAGCCATTCTCCGATGGTCATTCTGCTGCATGCTCACCTACAGGCACCCAGTACAGACTGCCAGTCTTACTAGATTTTATTTTAGTATAATTTCAATGAGGATATCAGCTTTGGTTCATTGTTTTAGTTTGCAAGGGTTTATAGTAATAAAACTTTCTGAAATAATTTATATTCATACATATGTGTTTGTTACTAGAGGCACAGGATCAAAGTATGTTAATGACATCACAGTTAAGCCCTGCAATGGACAGACACCCTGTGTAGATACAGTCCTGCCTGATGCCCCATGTCTGCTGAGATGCCCTCTACAGGATAAGTGGCTGCAAACATGGATCCACTGATGTCATCAAAATTACTAGAAATGACAGAGCAGATGCTACACTTACCTTCCCTTAAATGCCTGACAGATAAAGCACCAATAAGTAGGACTACAGGTGTGACAGCGATGCACAGCCCCAGAATCAGCCAATGCAGGGAGGAATAACCTAAAATATTCAGAATTACATCCCATTAGTCATTTTCTAAAATAGGCTGTTTGTCATGTTGCAGCATAAACAACACGTCCACACCATTTAGTCTCACAAAATGGAGTAGAAATTTATGATTAAATCTTTGTCTATAAGTGTGTAAGTTCTAATTGTCTCCAGCCTGAAACCATACAGATTAAATATATAATTTTCATCATGGTAACTATTTCACTATTCCCATATATGGTTTGGATACATTTACACAACATGTGGCAAAGGGCTTTTTAACTGTATTACTCAATCATGCACTGTAATATGCAGTTAATAAAAATCCTATGTTATTACTGCATTTTTCCCAGTCACACTCTCATGGTGTCTGTAGCTCCTAAGTGAATATTAATAATAAAACCATATAGGATCACACATGCACATATCACAGAGCTTAAATTCCAGGTGGCCTGAGACTAGGCCGAGCCTGGTACGAGAGGTAGACATTGGCCTAGGCACCAAAGGGGGGTTAGTGACCCCACACACATAAACACACACACACACACAAACACACACAGATAACAAGGGAGGCCAGCACTCCAACTTTTATTGCCCAAAGATTTAGGGACCTACAGACAGCAGAGTGGACCTAATGGACAGGGGTCCCTCGACTTGGCACACAACCCCCTCCCCAGACATCCTTACATAACTCACCCAACAGACCAACAGCCTAGAAGAAAGTTTCTTTTAAGTTTGGCTTTTGTATACCCTGTATATTGATTTACTTATGACTACTAGTCTCAATATACAGATAGGTCATGTTTGTATGTGTCCTTAGATAATCTTAGTGTTTTGTGTGCCACCCTTATAACCATGTTCACGGAGTATCACCTATTTTACCCCTTTACACTTGAATACATAGAAAGTTGAATAAATAAATAAATATAGCTACCACTGCATATATGTTCTCGTGGTTATACCAGAAGAATCTGGGAGATTAAATAGTGTGACCAGTGTGTCCTAACTTTCAGAGAGTCTTCTTTCTTTGTTTAACAACCCCCCCTTTTTTTCCTCCACATTTCTTTGTGGTCCTTATCTGATCTTGGTCCGTTAGCAAGCCTTCTTTGTTTCTACCATGCTATATTAAAAAGAACTGAATTAAGGTGTACATTATCCATTCTGGAGAAGATTCATTGGGATAAGCCACACCAACCAAGATATGTTGTTTCCAGATGTGCAACTTATATGGATATTACCACAAACTAATGGCCACGCCTATCTAAGAATAAGATGTGCTGTTTTTAATGTGAATAT